GTTTGAAATTAACACCCGCCAACCCGCCAAATGCGGGTAAAAATCAGCTGTGGCGGGTAATGCTGTCAAATCACTAGCCAATTTGGCGGGTTACTTTTCGTAAGTTATGTTCACTCATTAATTTCTTGGGGAAGTTCATGCAAGCCAAATCTGTGCAGACTTAACGCAAATACTGAACTCGTAAGACATCATGACATTATCGAGTATATTGCAAAAACTAAACCAAACACACCTACAGAGTGCATGCATACGCGACGTGATGAAGTCTGGTACGCATTTAGAGTGCGTTCATTCACTGCATGATTTAGCCTATTAATATGCATTAAGAATGATCACATAATTCAAGATAAGGGAGCAAAAAATTTATATATTTATATAAATTCATAGTTAATCAATATCACACCAAGAGTATTATTATAAATGACTGATTAAATTTAAGAATTTGACTCAAAAGATGATGTACACTTTAAGAAAAAATGGCTTTATAAAGGTAATTTATAAAAGGTAAAAATCAATTTAAACTTATTGGAAAAGATTCATTTCTATCACTGCTGTGAACTGACCACACAGAATATGAAGAATATCAAAAACTTTAGGAGTCAGCTGTCCACGGTAGTCCTTAAGACCGTTTGCAACGGTCGCTTTGTCACGCCCAGTGTAGACAGCCTCAAGCTGTTGGTTTATTTCTGTTTTTTTTTGGCTAGTAGAAGCTATGAATGGCCAGTAACTTAAAAATTTAGTAGCCAAATTGGCTGCTGAGTGAAAAAGTTAATTTCAATCCCTGCTTGTGACCCTTCTAAAGGACATTTTATAGAATGTGAAGGACCATATGGCTAAATATATCTGCTCTTTGACCAGAGAATGTGCTGCATTCTATTCATACTGCATAATGGTGGTGAAGTTCCAAACTCTGCATCTGTTTAGGAACCTTGCAAAGTGACACTGTGCCTGAGGATTCATGGGAATATAGGCTAATTAAGTGTTTATAAAAAGTTTTGTCAGGATGGTTAGTACCAGCACAATGGCATTCCACTAACTGAATTTGGCATTTGGCAATGGCATTTCACTAAAATTTGGTTCAGTTCCAGGATACTGTTCATATCAGCTAGAGCTGTCTTTACATGCCTTTAATGAGCGAGTCAAGCCAGTTTTGTTATTCTTAACTAAAACTGAAAGTAAAACTGTTAAAAATCATTAAATGAAATAAAGCTGAAATAAAATATAAATATCAGATGCAAAACTTTAAAATCTTAAACATGAAATCAAATTAAAATGAATTAAATATTTCATTTGAAATACTACAATTTCTAAAACTAGAACTGAAAATAAACATAAATTAAAGCTAAATATAAATATTTAAACATATAACAAAATGACTAAAATTTAAACTAAAATAAAAATAAAAACTATAGATAAATGAAGAAAATATAAAAATAATAGTTAAAATAATATTAAAATAACAAATAAAGTCCATCAGGGAAAACTGCATGTCAGTAGATTCATTAACAATTATATTGATGGTAAAGGAGAGGTTGAATATAGATAACATTTCATTTGATGTCTAATTGTTAAAAGTGTCTAAACTAATAATGGGGTATGTTATTTATAGTTTTATATTCATTGCAGTAATATCTGAAAATAAATCTAAGAAAAAAAATCGATTTGTTATTGTTTACAATCAAATTTTGTACTTATGCAAAGTAAAAAAAAAAAAAAATTGTTGTTGTAAAAGAATTGGGATTTAGGATGCACATACAGTAAAGCCAATCAGTACGCTATACTTGGTCAAATACAGGTTGTGTAGGGCAAGACCTGTTTATAGTTTTCAAGAAAATTTACATATGAGTGACTTACTTGTAGTTTTCTTGTTTTAAACAAATCTAACAAATTATGTTTGTGCTTAAAACAAGTTAACAAATTAATCAATAATTTAGCTATCAATGAATAAATGTAAAATAAGTGTCTGAAAAATATCAAGAAAACTGTACATCATGTGGTTTAAATACCAAGAAAATCAATAAATACGTCATATAAATAACTACTGTTACTGTATGTAAAAAAGTAGTGTGTACATTCAAGGTTATATATCATCCATGTCCCTGAACCCATGACTTTGGCGGTATTGTACAGGCGCATCTCAATAAATTAGAATGTCGTGGAAAAGTTCATTTATTTCAGTAATTCAACTCAAATTGTGAAACTCGTGTATTAAATAAATAAACTAGCACGTTTTAAAGTTGTTGATGTAGCTGTATAAGGGTGACGTTGAAATGAATTTGCTACTTAGATTTAAGCAGATGTTAAAATTTTTGTTGTGTTCCTGGTTTGCACTAACGTGTAAAATAAAAACTGGCAATTTATTAAGAAATTTCAGGTGTTTCTTCAATTCTTTTTCTCTCTCTAATCGAAATGTTTCAAACAAAACTTGTTTTCTTAATAGACTATTGTTTGAAGTTGTAATCACTTTCCATCCTGCACTCTCAGAAATACAGGTATAAAACTGTCACTGGGATGGTACACTTTTAAAACATGTACCTTTAAAGTGTTAATATGTAGCCTACAATTTGGGGGTAAATAAGTCAAGTCAAGTCAAGTCACCTTTATTTATATAGCGCTTTTAACAATACAGATTGTGTCAAAGCAACTGAACAGCATTAATTAGGAAAACAGTGTGTCAATAATGCAAAATGACAATAGTAAACACTAATTTTTCAGTTAAAGGCAGTTCATCATTGAATTCAGTGATGTCATCATCCAGCTCAGTTCAGTTTAAATAGTATCTTTGCAATCATTTGCAATCAAGTCAACGATATCGCTGGAAATGAAGTGTCCCCAACTAAGCAAGCCAGAGGCGACAGCGGCAAGGAACCAAAACTCCATCGGTGACAGAATGGAGAAAAAACCTTGGGAGAAACCAGGCTCAGTCGGGGGGCCAGTTCTCCTCTGACCAGACAAAACCAGCAAGGTACAAAGATGCATCTTTTAGCTTTTGTACCTTAAAGTACCAGCCATTTTACTTAAAATTAGCTAAACACTAATCTAGCTAACAAACCCCACATTAGCTAAACATTCCTACACTGTAAAAAAAATTCCGTAAAATTTACGGTAAAAAACGGCACAAAAAAACATCAAGTTTGAAAGGTAACGCAGGGAATTCTGGGAATGTTAATTTACGGTCATTCACTGTAAATTATACAGTCTTTTTCACTTCCAAAAACGGTATACTACCGTCAAATTACATGTAATGTCCAATACAGTTTTTCACCGTATATAGTAGGGGAATTTACCGTTAACCATTTAACAGGTTTTCACTGTAGCATTTTTACAGTCTTTTACCGTTAAATTCACGGTCATTTTTAATAAGTGTACACTGTAACTTAACTGGTTGTATTACTACAGTAGCACATGTATGTATGTAGGCGAAATTTAGAACAGTCTTGTCTGTCTTATCTGATTAACTGAAGCAAAACACAGTGTGACTCTACTTTTGTAGACGCTCAGGAAACTTAAACCCGATGGTAAACCACTTACTTAAGGTGATGCACACCGGACGAGAAGCGCCACGCCACGTTCTCAGGTTAAGGCAACAGTCCAACATCTAATCACCGAAGCGAATCACTTTATAGGCAAAAAGTTCAAAAAGAGTTTTGCCATAAAAACAAAGTAAAAGAAAAGAGTAGGGGCAATCTATATTATTTTATCTCTTTATATGAAGCATAGAATTTTTTCAGTGCACAGAAAGATAAATGTATTATTGAAAAATGTTTATAAACTCTTCCAGCCTAGGTGAAGTCATTATGTACATTAACAACACTGTGAGACAAATATAATGTAATTTAATAGAAAACGATGTGAGTGGCGCCAAATACTTTTAGATATACAGCACAAAGACTGTGCACTCTTTATGAATACTTTATGAATGGGAGAAAGTCCAATGCGCAATATGGTGGAATAGTCCCGCCTTCAAATTAAAAGAGCCAATCGCTAATTGGAAAAGTCGTCGCATCACTGCAGGTGCCCTTAGAAGCTCAGATTAGTGTCTTGAGATGCGCATTTCTGATTGCACAAGGGCATTGGCTGGTTTAGGCTGAATTTTTTTTTAACGTTTTTTAACGCTATTTGATCATAAGAAATAACATTTACGAGATATTTGTTGTCAGATTTCATTGGTGCTTTCAAATCTGAAATTTTATCATAAGCTTGGTGAACAGCTTTGAAGAATGTTTCTATGAAGGTAGAATGACGTCAATAAGATTTGCATACGCAGGGTAAGAGTTGTGGAAGTGTACATAAGACTGTAAGCGTAAATTAAATTCCCCATTCGAAAAGATCTTGCATGACTGCAATATCTGCCCAAGAGGAGTTTCAAAGATGGCCGCCATGTAAAATGACTTGCCTTAAAGGGACTTTGGTGGCGCCTCAGGATTTTGAACATCTCTGCACTTCTCATGCAGTGTGCGACCACCTTTAAACTTACTCTTCTGTATCTTGCAACCAATATTAATATTCTCTTTATCTCAATATTAATTATTTTTTTATAAGGTGAAATGAAATGTCAGCAAACTGCCAGCAGCAAATGAAATTTTGAGGTAGCATGGGGTGGCCAATCAGATGTGCCACTGTTACTGTTTATAATGCATTCTGATTTACATACAGTTTATTAAAATAGTTGGCAGTATATTCTGCAGTTCCATTCCAAACACAGTCTGTTTTGTTTCATTGCTCTGACCTTCAAAGCAATAGTTCAACCAATGGTGTAATTTTACACAAACAATGGAAGACAGGGGCATGAGAAGAGTTTTTGGAAACCTGTTTACCTCTAGTGGAACTTCTTTAAAAAAAATAAAAAATAAAACAGTTATCTTACCATACCAAGTGATTGACAGGCCATTGACTGACGCTCTGACCAATGAGAGCAGGCTTGAGGCGTGTTGACATGAGTAGTCCCGCCCACAATGAAGAAATGCAGCATGATCAGGCAGAGCGGAAGAGCAGGGCTGTGCAGGCATGAAGAGTGCGAGGGGACATTCCTGAAAAAAATCTGCCGAAAACACATGTGAGTATGTGAATTACATTTTTAGTATTTTTTTTTTTTTTTGGCATGTCCACAATCATGTTCATCAGAACGTGTAACTTACAAAAATATGCAATGTTTATTGGACTTCACTGTGATTACTTTTCAAATCTGGACATAGATAAAACTATAAAGATGTGTTAGTTTGTGGGATATATAATTTCTACATTTATTCATTTAGAAGATGTCTCTATCCAAAGTGACATCTAAATAATGAATGCTCTACACCAATTAGTATTTTTTATTTTTTTTGGCATGTCCACAATCATGTTCATCAGAACGTGTAACTTACAAAAATATGCAATGTTTATTGGACTTCACTGTGATTACTTTTCAAATCTGGACATAGATAAAACTATAAAGATGTGTTAGTTTGTGGGATATATAATTTCTACATTTATTCATTTAGAAGATGTCTCTATCCAAAGTGACATCTAAATAATGAATGCTCTACACCAACGATTCATCCTTAAAACACAGTAACATTAGACAAAAGTATAAACTGTAAAGTTCCAAAATTGGTAAAAAAAGTTTCCAGACAGTCAGATTTACTTGCTTTAGGGTTCCTAAATTCTCAAATTATGCTAGAGGACATGATCAGTTTTGGTTATGTCAGCGTTTGATAATATAATTTATAAAGAAAATGTATTGAATTATACAAAATACAAAGCAAAAACTTTTTTTTTTAAGGCTAGAGTGTGGGAAGTGCCTGGAGCCTTTTTGTGAAATTAGCCGTTATTGAAACATCACCCGAGGAAGTTCTTAGGAAATTCTCAACAGGTCTCCAAGATACTTTGTGGATGATTTCCTACATTGATCGATATGATGTGCTATTTTATGGCATAAATGAGAGTGCTGTTAAGCTGTGTGATTAGCAGAAAATGTATCTATACTTTGTACATTTGTTCGTGCCCTGAGGTTGGAAGAAACCATTTGAAATTACTTCAATGCTCTGTTATGAACAATATTCCAGGAATATTTGTAGGCTGTCATATGCATGACAGTATCAATATGGGTGTGTGCAGTTTGTGGACATTTACCACCTCTTAGAGAAATACATGTCTGGTGTATGTATAAGAGCCTAGACATACACCACAATGTGCACTTGCTTCATTTAACTATTGCAACATCACATCCATTTGTTCAAGCTAGACCAAGAACTATCGTACTATGGCAAGACCTGGCTTGGGAAGCAATGAAATGCTTGGAATGGTGTTACATAAACAGATTATCAATATATTTATATTTTTATTTGCTTGCTTACTCATTTAAAGGAATAGTTCAGCCAAAAATGAAAATTTCCTGAAAATGTACTCACCCTCAGGTCATCCAATATGTAAATGTGTTTGTTTCTTCATCAGAACAGATTTGGAGAAATTTAGCATTACATCACTTGCTCAGCAATGGATGCTCTGCAGTGAATGGGTGCTGTCAGAATGAGAGTCCAAACATCTGATAAAACATCACAATAATCCACAAGTAATCCACACCACTCCAGTCCAGCAAGTAATGCATGAAGTGAGAAGCTGCGTGTTTGTGATGAACAAGTACATCATTAAAATGTTTTTAACTTAAAGCTGCAGTCCGTAAGTTTGCCTATTTGTCACCATCTCTGTTTGAAACCTGCAATTGCAGTTCTTTGCAAAGTTATCTTCTTTACGTGGGTTGTGCATCGGCACGGTTCCTCAGCGTGGATGAATCTAATGTTTTGAGGTGTATGTGTGAGCTGTCAGTCAACCACAAATATGGATATTCACTGTACTTCGGAATTACAGATACTACGTCTTGGAAGTATGTCCAAAAATAAGAAGTTTCACCGGAAAATATAATCGGAACAAGTCCATTACATGTCTGCCAATTGTGTTCTGACCAACTGAAAAAAAAAAAAAAAAAGTTCTACATTAAATTGCGATACCAAAGGTGATTAAATCTAACAATAGCAAAATTAGCTCAGATCATGTCAAACCGTGCAAATGATTATTAATTGTATACTTTGTTCTCAAATTGTTACTGTTAACATCAACGTTGCATCAACATTGACTATGTGTATTTAGTGTGTATTAGCGTTATCTGTAGATTTCAATCTCTGTACAGTCTAATCTCTAATTGTCATACTATTCCAATGTCATCAAAAGAAATTGTTCTTTTAACCTCGAAAAGCAATTTAATGTTCCTTAGAACTCGTTCTAAAATGACAAGTTTAATTATTCCAGCTGCTGTAAGAAGAGGCTACAGGTGATCCGCCACCTGCAGCATCCCCACACGCGATAGAGCCTGCTAGCCGGGACTCCTTCTTTGACGCAAAGACGAATGGCGGCAAACTCGTATTTCCCGCAGAAACCGACCCGAACCACTCAAATTAGAAAACATTATTACAAGCTTACCGTTGTGAATCGGGCTAAGGTAAGGAGATAGTTTTGAACACTGATTGGTTATGTACTTGCTCAATAATTGATTTTGGATAATTCAAAAAAAAAATTACAGAATGCAGCTTTAAAACAAATGTTTCCAGATAAGAGTCCTCTATCCATAAAACTGGGTTCTCCAGTGAAAAAGTTGTCTCGTCTGAATCAGGAGAGAAATATGCACAGATCAAGTACCGTTTAAAAACCAAAAACAGTTATCAGATGTTTGGACTCTCATTCTGACAGCACTCATTCACTGCAGAGGATCCATTGGTGAGCAAGTGATGGAATGCTACATTTCTTCAAATCTGTTCCCATGAATAAACAAACTCATCTACATTTTGGATGGCCTCACAAAGAGTACGTTTCCAACCATTTTTCATTTTTGGGTGAACTATTCCTTTAAGCACATTTCCCATAATGCAAAAAAAAGAAAAGAAAAAAATGCTATGTATAATAATGAAAACTAGCATTACATAAATAAAAAACTACTACAGTGATGTATAAATCCACAAAAATTCTTAAAGAGATAGTTTACCCAATAATGAAAATGAACATTTTGTTATCACCAAGCCTATTTAAGTTTCTTTCTTCTGCTTAACACAAAGGAAGATATTTTGAAAAATGTTGGTAACTTAACAGTTGCTGGTAGCCACTGACTTCCAGAGTATTTTTTCCCCATAAATTCCATTTTGCTACCAGAAACTGATTGGTTACCAACATCCTTCAAAATATTTCAACAGAAGAAAGAAACTCATACAGGTTTGGAACAACTTGAGTAAATGATGACAGAATTTTCATTTAGATTAATTAATGCAAAATATGAATTCAAATTTGTTTCTCTTGGTTTTGGGGTGAAATATGACATGAACATGGTCTTGACAGATGATATGGCATTCATTCTGATATATTTTCCTAACCAATTCACTCCTGAAAAAAGCTTTTTATTGTGTGGCAGCTTAGTCATTATTTCCTCTTTCTAACATAAAACAGCATAATTTTACTGTTAATATTTTATATTTTACTGCTAATATTGATTTATTAACAGAGAATATGTTCCAAAGATTAGTTGATATTGATTTTTATCTGTACTTGCATGTATATTGAAAGGTACATCAATATCACTTTGTAAATTAATATGATGATGACATGATGTAATGATATGATTTCATAGTCTTATTCTCTGACAGATCTGGATCAGAATGGCAACGCTTAACAGTACTGGAATACTGGATACTGGAACTAATGATAGTCAAGTCTACCGTTGTACTTTAAAAGAACAATTCAAGTACATTCTCCTCCCGGTGAGTTATACTTTGGTGTTTGTGTTCGGTCTGGGGTTGAACATCATGGCCATGTACATCATCCTGTTTCGCACCAAATTCTGGAAGCCCAGCACCATCTACATGATCAACCTCAATGTCTGTGACACACTTTACATCCTTACCCTGCCGTTCCTCATCTACTACTATGCTGGTAAGAACGACTGGCCGTTCGGTGAGCACATGTGTAAGCTGATTCGCTTTCTCTTCTACACAAACCTCTACGGAAGCATCCTCTTCCTCAGCTGCATCAGTCTGCACCGGTTTTTAGGCGTCTGCCACCCAATGCGCTCTTTGTACTGGATGGACGGCCGGCGTGCTCGTTTGGTTTCAGTGGGAATATGGGTAATCATTCTCATCTTACAGGCCCCGATTCTTTATTTCTCCCGGATGAGACTTAATGGTAATGATCTGGTCTGTCATGATACCACCATCAAGGAGCTCTTCAATGACTTTCTGGTCTACAGCTCGGTGGTGATGTTTCTGCTTTTTATCATACCGTTTGGGGTGGTGCTGGTCTGCAGCGGCCTGATGGTGAAGAAACTTCTTGATCCCGGTGTTCTCAGAGAACCAATGTCACAGCGCTCCAAACGGAAGTCGGTGAAGATGATTATTATTGTGCTCCTGGCTTTCATGTTGTGCTTCTTGCCTTTCCACTTGAACCGCAGTATATACTACACCTTCCGTTACCTGGACAAACACGACTGCGACATAATACGACTCTCCAACGATGCCTACAAGGTCACGCGACCTCTGGTCAGTCTCAACAGCTGCATCGACCCCATCCTCTACTTCATGGCAGGACAGCGCTTCAGAAACAGCATCAACAAGAAATCAAGAATATAGTCTCACAAATCCCTTTCAGCATTACAGTAAAACTTTATTTCATAGAATTAAAGAATATGTTCTTTTTTTCCTGGCCGAGATTCCTGGGTTAAGCGCAGTGTGAAAAGCCCTATTTTCCCGGGAAGATCCTGGCCAGGATTTTTAGCTGCCTAAAATGTCCGGGTTTTGGCTTTGTTTTCCTATTGAAATGCTCTCTGCAGTCCTCACACATTATATGTAGGCCTAAAGGTTTGGTTATACTCCAGTTCGGACACGGACTACTTGTATTTATACTACTGAATGTGTATCCTGGGGTCCGCTCGGCGGACGTGTTCCACACATGCGCAGTAGATCGGCTTGAACAGTAAACCAACATGGGCAATTTCCCTCCACTAGTTATTGCACATCAAGGCATGTTTGTTTACTGTTCAAGCCGATCTACTGCGCATGTGTGGAACACGTCCGCCGAGCAGACCCCAGCATACATTTTCATTAGTATTAATACAAGTAGTCCATGTCCGTGCTGTCCGCAGCTGTCTGTGTAGGCCTCCCGAACTGGAGTATAACCAGGGTTTCCAGGTTTTCAGGGTTGGTTGGTAAAATACACGTTTTATGGCAGGGTTCCCCTGGTAAAATTTGCATTTTAGGGGCTAAATATCAGTTCCTGTGTTCACTTTAACCCACAGACCTGAAAAACAACCCGCGGTAGCTGGAAAACCGCAGACTTGGCAACACTGAGTATAACCAAACCTATGGTAGGCACGCCGATGTCCACAAAGAGCCTCCGCGTACACCCTCCGATGACGATTTTAAACACTAGCTTAACACTAGCATAAGTGTATTTGCATTACTTTGACCTTTTTCTGTAGATCCCACCTTCTCGGACACCACAATTGGTCGATTATGTACAATGCCTGCACGCTATTGGTCAAACTACTTTTCAGTCATTACTTTTAGCAAGTATAAAAACAAAGCCAAAACTAGACATTTTAGGCAGTTTAGAAATCCTGGCCAAAATCTTCCCGGGAAAATAGGGCTTTTCACACTTCGCTTAACCCAGGGTTATCGTTTCACACATGTAGCTAATTTAGAAGCGAGGTTAGCACTTCTTAGCAACAGACACCCAATCGCGTGCCTCATTTGTCAAATGGTGACGGAAAACACGTCAATTGGAGTGAAGATACCGTTTTATCCTCACTTATGGCGCTTTTCCACTGCATGTTACGACTCGGCTCGCGTTTCCACTGCAGTTTAGTATCGCTTTAGAGTGGGCGGGATTATTCACATGTCGTTATAGTTGCGCCGCCTCTACTGCCGCGACTCCTGAAAAACGTTTTCATTCCGCGTCGCCCCATCAAGCTCTCGCTGGATCCGCTCCTCTGCTATCAATGAGAGGAACGTCTGTACTTCCTCAACAGACAACGAAACAGACATTTTTGGTTGTTAAAAAAGGTGCGCTCGTTCAAAACAGTTGCTTCTTTTTCTTCTTTTAGTTTTCTGGCGGTTACAGGCCAAAGTTAAGGTGCATACCGCCACCTACTATATTGGAGTGTGTAACATCATGACTTCATTGTGATCTTTCTTGCAAAATAAAAATCATTATTTCCCTGGTAACTTCAGTCTGATAATTTTCTATTCCTAAAACACCTCTAATGTCCCATTCCCTTCCAACTTTTATAATGCAAAACAGTTGCGTTCATTCTTTCGCTGGCTGTACTGATTTAAATCTAGCGGGTCTGTTGTGTCTTGTGTTCAAGTTCAGTGACGCAGGTAGTGACGATTCTCTCCGACCAATCAGTGATCAGCAGAGTTTACACGTCACGTTTTGGTAATGGTACGGTTCGTTTGGAACCTCAACCGAGGTGGTACTGAAAAAAGTACCAGGTACTGTACCCAATGGAAAACCCCCCAAAAGTGAACCGTACCATGCCGTACCATGCAGTGGAAAAGCGCCATTATATAATATGTAGCTAATATAAATTATATAAATATAGCTGCCTTCACGCCATGTCGTAATTACCATAATTCCAAGATGACAATACGAGACATTCTACTTGGAGCTCTTCCAAGCAGGGTTGCCAAGTCCTCGGTCTTACCGCAGAATTGGTCTACTTTTACACTGTTGTCGCGGGTTAAAGCGATCTCCCCCAGTCCCCCCAGAACGCTATTTCCACAGAGGGGGACGCGATTGGGATAGTTTTGAATAGCAATTGGGCTGGTTTTGTTTTGCAGACCTGGCAACCCTGCTTAAGTCATCAGACTCGTCGGAATTATGCATTTATCTGTCTAAATTTCGCATGCTCAAAATCTAGTGTGACGCAGCATAATTAACTATTTAAAGTGTGAAAAGCCATATTGTTTATGTTACTCTAACAATTTCCTGGTAATCATCAGGTTATTGCATATAATCCGTCCAATAGCATGTGAGATCAGAATAGTGTGTTAGTATACTGAAAATGCATTAGCTTGTACTGTTTTCTGTGGATTTTTAAAGTGTGAATTGTAATGAATTTTATTTTATTTTATATTTTTTATTTTAGGGTAATACATTTAGCCATTGCTAATGCTTAAAAAATGCAAAAGCACATTTTCCACCACTGTTCAAAGAAGTTTGGGGTCAGTAAGATTTTTAAAATTGAATAGCCTACTTTAATTGCGCAAGGATGCATTTGACTGATCAAAAGTGACAGTAAAAACATTTTAAATGTAATGTTTCAAATTCTATTCATTTCTATTCATGAGAAAAAAAATGTCTCATGGTTTCCACTGAAATATGAAGCATCACAAAAGTTTCCAACACCGATAAGAAGAAGAAAAAGAAGAAGAAATGTTTTTTGAGCAGCAATTCATCATGATGCTGAAAATTCAGCTTTGATCATGGGAATAAATTACATTTTAAAATGTATTAAAATAGAAAACAGTTATTTTAAATTGTAATAATGTTTCACAATATTACTGTTTTTACTCTATTTTTGATCAAATGAATGCAGCCTTGGTGAGCAGAAGAGACTTCTTTCAAAAACATTAAAAAAATCTTACTGACCCCAAATTTTTGAATGGTACATTATCAGAATAATCGTCACAAATATATACAGCATGGTGAACATTTCATACATCGCAGTCCTAATGCAGTTGACATCAGTCTATAAAGATGAAGACATGTAAAGATGAATTTCCACATCTCAGATACTGCGGTAAAGTTCTTTATTTCAAGAGTATAAATATCAAGAAAAACATTATTATTAGAATTATAATAAATAAAAGAAACAGCAATAAAAAGCTGAGTTTCCCCCTTAACTTAACATTCTAGTCGATCTTTGCAAAGTAAGGTGTAACAGCGATGTATGTCTCCAGCTATAACTATGATGGTATTCAAGAAATGATTGCAAACAAGCACGTGTATTGTATAAAAAATTCACTTTATATAAAATGTGCATGTAATGTCAGTAACAAAACTGTGATGCTACCCTTGAGTAGCCTTTCCTGTCATTACTTGCTCTGAACTACAAATAAATACAATGGAAGAAGGAAATGATGAAACAGAGTAATATTTCATTATATATATATTTTTTTTGTTATCTCAGTAAGTTGTGATGAAACTTTCATTGAGGACGTAAATTTAGCAATCAAGGTCTTTGTGAAACTCGGTGCGAGATAAGTACCGGAACCGTTCAGGATCATTTCATGTCATTTGAAGCCTTGCACAATCTGTACCGCACCACATGCATCGACTCCTTCAGCTGTAAATGCAACAGCTCAAGTATATTCTTGTTTTTTTACACCTATGGACTGATGAACACTGAACTACATCCTGTAAGAGGAAGATGCGTGACACCAAAAGTGCAAACAAAAGTGCGAGCATAAGTGAACAACTACAATTTTTTGTTTCATTTTTTTTTTTTTTTTTAGATAGGACAAACACTGCAAAAATGATTTTTGTATTTACTATTTTTGCAAGTATCTAAACTTTTTTTTTTTTTTAATCAAGATACTTTTAATTGAGAAGCAGAATGACTTAAGAACAGAACAAATATCTGTCAGTGTGGAAAGCAAAATAATCTTGATTTAATGAGAAAAAAATATATAATTTTTCTTACCCCATTGACAGATTTTGCAATATCTGGTCCTAAATCTATGTATTTTAATTTCTGTTTTAATGTCACTGTTGACAAATTTTGAGAAATCAATATATTTTATACACTGTCAAAAAAAATTAAAAAACATTCTTCCCCAGTATTTTTTCCAGGACAAATATCTTAACATTTCTAAATCAAGATACATTTACAAGTCTTGTTTTCTGAAAAATTTGAGTTTAAGCTTAAAACAAGAAAAATTATTTGCCAGTGGGGTCAGAAAAATAAACTTAATTCAAAGGGAAAACTAGATTATTTTTCATACCCTATTGACAGATTTTTTTTCTTGTTTAAAGCATAAACTCACATTTTTTCCAGGAAATGACAATATCTTAAGTCATTTTTGTTTTAAAATAGATGTATCTTGATTTATTACATTTAAAAAAAAATTTCAATTAATTAATTAATTAATTTTATATTTGTAATGGAATAAAATGGAATATTTGTAAAACAAGACAAAAATACTAAGAAAATAATTTTTGCAGTGAATGACCAAAAGATCATCAGCAAATTTCATAATATGTTTTAATATAATTTGTCATTACATGAACTTAAAACTTCTGGTCCTAAATCAATGCATTTGTATTTTTAATGTCACTGTTGACAACATTTGAAACATCAATATATATTTTAAAAATACATTTTTGCACCTTTGTGTACACTCTAAAAAATGCTGGGTTAAATATAACCCAGCGCTGGGTTAAAAAGGGACAAACCCAGCTATTGGGTTGTTTTGACCCAGCGGTTGGGTTGTTTTGAACCAGCTATTGGGTTGTTTTGAACCCAGCTATTGGGTTGTTTTGACCCAGCTATTGGGTTGTTTTGACCCAGCGTTTGGGTTGTTTTGACCCAGCGTTTGGGTTGTTTTGACCCAGCGTTTGGGTTGTT